AAGAATCCAACCCAACAACATATATGTACGCCCGCTTCCTTGAACAGAAAGACCAATTAGGGTTAGGGTTTAGGTAAATTGGGCCCTGCAACACAAATGACAAGATAAGCCCATGTCTTCCAGAGTCTTGCTACTTCAGTTGACTCAATTTTAATGAAGAAAAAAAACATTACATTTAAGAATAACAGTGTCAAAAGCATTACGTCTACAAATGACAATCTCATTTTCTATTGAACTTAAACCACTCTTTTATCTTCGAAAATGACAACGTTTTCCCAACTTTCTTGTTGAAAGGGTAGCTTCCGATGAATATCCGTCTTGAAGCACGGTAGTCAAACTCATGACCAGGGGTAGACAAGTGAGAAGGCAAAGATGCAGAATGAGCGATCTTCCTCTCCCTATTAATATCCACCACACTTAAACTTCTAAAAAGTGCTTTGTCTGCTTCAGGGCACGGGTAGATTTTCCCAAAGCTTATATTTGTAGGGTTGATTTGGGCAGCGTCTATGCACCTGGTAATTTGACTGCGACTAAAGCTCTTCTTGAAGCTCTTTCTAGCTGCTGCTACTTCCATATTCTCTTCTTTCAACTCTCCCATTGTGATTTGTGCAAGCAAATATTTTCTGCGTCTTTCTTGTTTTGAGTTGCTTTGAGTTCGCTATCCTTTATATAGATAGATGAGGTTGCCTAATTTGAGTAGGAAACGACTAGGAATTCCATTCACTTTAGGATTTAGGTTATTAAACGGCAACCCAAAATTCCTTTTCCCACAAGGAATTGAAGTAAAATGAAAAATAATGTATCAAAACATTCAAATTTTCGGGTCAACATTATATGGGATACCAACTTGCAGTCGTATAAAGCTCATGTACCATTTAATTTCTGAATTTGTAAAAAATATAGAAAAGCCCGACAATACTCAAATTTTAGGAAGTGAAATAGACCAAATATACCATACAAGCCTTACAAAACCTAAAAATTACAATACTATCATAATAATTGTTTTCTAAAAATCATAATGCAAGTTTAATAATGGTATTTCACATATCATTCTAATTAAAAAATAATACAGCATGTCTTTTTGGGTTTTTTTCTTCAATTTTTATATGTTTTAGCTTTTTTATATAAAATCAATACAAGGAATTTCTCGCTTGAACACCCATGTACCATTTAATTTCTGAAGTTGTAAAAAAACGACAAGTCTATAGTCGTTTCCAATGGATTGATTGAAATTTCAATTTGGATGGCACCATAGATTTGGGCCTGATAATTCAATTCAAGGGTTTTGGAATGCAATACGCCATCTTCGAATGTATCTTTTGGGCTAGGCCCAATAGCCAAGACTCTCCAATTTGAACACCTATAGTTGACAACATATATTTTTGTCTTTGTTTGTTTGAAAAGAAGAAATGAGGTAATTTTCCCACTCCCCTTTTTTTCACTTAAACTCCCTTTTGTTTTTTTAATATTTTTTTAAATCAATTTTGTTTTTTTTCTTCTTTCTCTTTCCTATTCTACCCTTACAATACATTAATTTTTTTTCTTTATACTTAATTTTCCAACATGCACTCTATTTTCAGTCTTTTTTTTCCTTTAATCGAGTAAGAAATAACTAACACTGTATATTTCTCTAGGCAAAATTATATGGTCCACCTGCAAAAACTCATGCCCCATGAATAGATCTTGCAGTCATAGTTTTTATTTTTTATTTTTTTAAAGGAAACAAATTTTAGGTGGCCACAAAGAAACAGAAATGCATCTAACTACACATTTTTACATTATCTTTTTCAAGGTTCTTCTCCCTCTCTTCTCCGTCATAACCATTCGAAAAACATATATTGAATGAAAAAAAATTTGATGAACGTGTGGACATGAATTGAGTTCTTAGAATTTCAGAAAATGAAATTGACTTTGAGACTATGAGTTTCAAATTCGCATTAATGGAGTTCTCTTTGTTTCATATGAGATCATTTCATACCTTCATCTTGTTTGGGTATAGTCTCAAAAAGTACAAACAACCAGGGATTGAAAAGAAAGAAAAAATAAAAAAAATGGAAAAGAATTACTCTCATAGAAATAATTTGCCATTCCAAGTCTACAGGGGAATCCAAAAGCCTGGATTTTTATTGTTGTGTTATAATGATGATGGAGAAATCCAAAAGCTTGGGTTTTGTTCACTCTCATTGATTGAGTACCCATGCATGGTGAGGATAGAATAAGAAAGAGAGAGAATAAAAAAAGAATAAAATTGATTGAAAAGTATTTAAAAATAAAAGGGAATGTAAGTGTGTAAATGGGAATGGGAAAATCAGCTCCCAAAGAAGAAAGAACAAATAATAATCTTCCTACGAGAATTGATGTGTGAATTAGAGGGTAGTGAAGATGGGGATGCTGATAATGACATTAGTGGCACATACGGGAATAATATGGGAGTGACAATGGTAGTGACGACACATAACGATGATGACAATAGTTGTGGGACAATGCTTGCCTAAATTTTTTGAAAAGAGATATTTATTTTTCTTGTAAATTATGAGTTGACACATATACAAAAATAATTCATTACAAATATCAAAAGAAAAATTTATACACACTTGTCAAACTTTGTTCAATAAGAAAGTAGTCATACTTTCAATGAAGGATGCAAGTATTTTCTATAGTTATGATCCTAGTTAGTAAAATACGAAACGGGAAAAGTAAGAATAAAATACGTACGTGTTTTATTTGGCAAAATTTTGGCAAGATACAACTGAAAAGTTCAGCCACTATATAATATTTTAAATATATTTTATTTTATTTTTATTAAATAAAATGTGAAAAATATGGGTATAATACATGAATTTTATTTATATTATTCAAAATTTTGTAAAAAACACTTGTATTAAACGTGAAAAATATATACGTACGTATATTGTATGTTTGCTTTTTAAAAAATATATATATTTTACCGAGTTTTTAAGACATGTACCGAAAATAAAAATATTACTAAAAAATACGTACGTACATGTATAATATGAGTATTAATTAAACGGGAAAATGCTAACTTGGGTTATGATAATGAGAGTCATCATACATCTTTAACATAATAGTACAAGAAAAATTTACATGTCATATTGCTATATCACTTATCACGGGTTGTATGGAAGTTTCTCTCTAATACTATGATTATTACAATATTCAATAGATGATGCTAAGTGTTTTCAATTTATTGAACACTGTAACAAACTTTTGTTCATGAAATTTAAACTCATAACCTACTTTAAGAAAGTAGAAGATAAATACCATTAAAACCAGGAGTAGCATAATATTTGATGGGTATTGGTTGATCTTAACCAGTGTTAGGTGATAATGAGCTCAAAAACAAATATGAGAGAGAGAGAGAGAGAGAGAGAGAGAGAGAGAGAGAGCACAAAGAAAATAAACGGGAGCAGGTGAAAAGGAAATATGGTGGATTTTATATTCAAGGCTATCCTACAGCAGTAGCGTTAAAAAGGGATCAGAAAACGCCACACATACTTTGTTTCTTTGTAATAGTTGGGAAATATTATAGATCACTGGTGCTTCTAGCAAGCAACAAAGTTTGGTAAATTGGCGGTGAGATGAATAGTGATTCTTGTGGGCCATGTCATCACTTGGCATTAGGTTAATTAATCAGTCATATTTGGCTCCTCCAGTCTGGTACACCAACTATAGAGAGAGCTTGAAAACTCAAATCTATTTTAGATCCACAACTTTTTCTTCTAGTGGTTCTAATCGACTAACTTCTCAAAAAATTATATTATATATATATATATTTTTATACAAGCGATATTAGAGAATGGGGAATTCAAATACAGGATCTCAAGTGCAAGAATAAATTCCTCACAAAATTATGTTATATTTTTAACTCAAGGGTAGGTGATTCCATATTGAACTTCAATATTATTTGTCTTAAAATTAACTTGTTTTGGTCCCCTTCCCTTTTCTTTATTAGTCCACACCACTATGTCTACGCTTCTAGGCTTAGGCTTCTAAAGATTAAATTTTCAGTCATCCAGCCTACAGTTAACCCTGGACAACATCAATCAGTTTCTTATGCAATAGTTTGAAATGTGTGTTATTTTATTGTAAATTGTTAATCAATCCTAATCAATCCATGAATGGCTTTACCTAATTAACACTCATGGCTCTAAAAGTGGAGAAGACATGTTATTTACTTGCATGCCATGTTCTTCTGTCACTGTGCATGGTCTTCCGTAATCTGAGCTCCATTGGATGGAGGTCATGGCTCATCATCACCAAAGTATTAAAATATTTAAATCCCTTGTCAGTGCAGATGCCAAGACAGCTACGAAATTATATTTGACACATCAGGATCTAAAACTTACTAAAAACCGAAAAGTAATATTGTAACCTGATTATTGTAGCTGGTAAATGTTTTAATATCAGAATTTGGAAAAAAAAAATTTTGTTTTAATATCAGAATTGCTAGTTGATTATTGACGTTGAAAATCATGGAACAATCGAGATTGGTTGGGTGAGCCCACAAGAATGACATGTGATGAAAGAAAATTTGGATTTATTTGTTCACTCACAGCACAGGGAGTGAAAATTCCATCACAATTTTCCTTCAGAAAGTGGTGCATGTATGAAAACTTATATTATAACCTATAAAATAAAAACCTGTTTTGCTTCAGACTCATACAACCACCAAATTATATATATATATATATATATATATATATATATATTAAAAATTAATCATGCAACATGGTGAATACATG